GGGGGTATGGTCCTGCTCGCCACAGGGGACGTCCTCTGCGCGTGGGGGGGTATGGTCGCGGCGCCAGGGCGCCGACCCTACCATACCATACCCCGCAAAAAGTCCGAACCCCGGTTAGCGCATTTTTGTGCTGGATATGTGTATGCAGCTCCACCTTGCTGTCGCGCTGAGTTGTCCCACGTGGCCTTCGCTCTCGCCACTGTGCTCCACGGTTGCCGCGCCGCTGCTGCGCTCCGCGGTTGCCGCGCCGCGCGCTTCGCCTGTCGCCTACGCGCCCGCCGAATGGGACGACGGGTGGTACGAGGACGGGCTCACTTGCGTCGAGTTTGTGTCTGAGGGCGAGCGTCGCCTCGGCGTCTACGTCCACCACAGCGTGGTGGAGCCCGATCCGCACATCCGTCCTCTGTGTGCGAGCAGCGAGGACGACGGCGTGCGTGTGCTGCTGCACGACGAGGAGGCGGCGCCGGCACCCATCTCCTCGGTCACGCGGATCCTCGACCCCGATGTTGTCTTTGTGTCGGAGCGGCAGGCGGGCGGAGGGCAGGGGCTCGGCAACCCGCACGGGGAGCACGGGGAGGAGTGCTACGACTTGAGCGAGCTCGAGCTCAGTCCCGACGTGCGGGTGGTTGTGCGCGAGGGGAGGGATACCGAGAGGGTGCTGTGAGACGCGCGCTGTGGGTCGGCGCTGTTTGTGTTGTTGTTCTGTCGCATGTAGTCCTGGGCGTGCATCTCTCGTGGCTCGCTGCGTCCTGCGTTTTTTTTGCATATATATAATTATTATCTTTTATCATGCGCCGTCTGTAAAAGTACGGGATGTGGTGACCTGGTGTGGAGAGTGGACCCTGAGTTGCACAGCCACAGGGGCTGTGTGCGCCAGGCCCTCCTGCTCGGCTCGAGCGAGTACCGAGTAGACAAGTTTCTTGTCAACAACAGACGAACAGAGTAGAAGGATCTGACCTCGGGGCCGATATGTGACCAAGCGCTGGTAGCGTGGTTTTACCTCACACCCATGGTCTCACAGTGTGCCGGCAGTCGCCGAGCAGTGTCGCTCACACAAGCCGCAGCACAAGTGACTGAGGGCCAGTGAGGGCGAGCCCATCGCTGTCACAGCTGTGGCAGCCGCACAGTAGGCTGTGCCATCTGTGCAATGAGAGAGAGAGAGATTTTTAGCAATAAACAAACAACTCTAACACTCACACGTCTGTGCAGACTGCAGAGCGTGTGAGCAGCAGAGGAGCTGCTCTCCAGGCTTCTGTCGCAATGAGCTGCATGCCACCGAAGGCGCTGTCGAGGTTCGCCGAGCGCGGCGCAGGTTGAGGGAAGCCGCCACCGACGAGCGTAGAGCGCTGGTCGGATTCAGCAAACCGGGTCATTCAAAGCGTTTTTGACGGCGTTTCAGAGTGGGGGGGGCCCGGGGCGGCTGTCGGTGCTCGGCTTTACAGTCTCGATCCTGATATGGAAGCTGCCATGGCAAGCGCCTCTGCTCGTCTTGCGCCGCTCGCCGAGGCTGCCATCACGCCGCCTCACGAGGCTGGGCATGAGGCGGCGGAGCGCGGCGACGCTCTTCATCTGGGCTCCACGCCGTTGCACGAGGCGGCGGAGCGCGGCGAGTCAGCTCAGCTGGCGTTTCTGCTTTCCACGGGCGCGCGAGCGGATGCGGTAGACTCGGACGGGCAGACGGCCCTGCATGTCGCTGTCTCTCACGGGCATTTGCAAGCCGTCGAAGTCCTTACGAGGCAGACTCCGTGCAGAGAGATTGGCCTTCCGGACGTCTACCGCATGACGCCGATTCACATGGCCGCCGAGCTCGAGGAGTCCGGCGAGGACATGGTGGCCCTGCTCCTGGCTCGAGGTGGCGACGAGGTCATGCGCCGTCGCTCTAGCATGGGCTCAGCCGGCAGCCCGCGCCGCTCGTCGAGCATCGGCCTGGGAAGCCCGCGCCAGCCCACCACACCTAGCACTCCGTCGCCGCGCCGCGCCGCGTCTCCCTCCTTCCTCTTCCGCTCCGGCGGCTCCGAGGTGTCGAACGCCTCGAGGACGACCTGCGCCTCGGACGACTCCATCTCCTTCATCGCACTCGAGCACGACAACGCCTCCGTCCGGAGGATGATCCGCCGCGCGTCAAAGGGGCTACCCACTCCGCTGCCCGGCTGCTTCTCCTCCATCGACGACTCCATCGACGACTCCTCCTCCCCCACTCCCCGAGGTGGCCGGTCCATGCCCCCCGTGCCCCGTCGTGCACAGCACTGCCGGGCTGATTTCCCCCTGGCTCTCTTGCAGGCGCCTCGCTGCAGGAGGTGAAGCTCCGCCGCTCCAACTCGGCGACGGGGGCCGTCGACCTCGAGGGCGACCTCGAGGGGTGTGAGCTGACTAACGAGCTCGAGGACGCCGTCCACGCCGCGGTCGCAGCCATCGTCACTAACGAGTGACGGTGATTTGTCCAACGTTAATGTAGTGTAGAGAAAGAGTGGGGGACGACGATGTGCAGGCTGCACGTGGCCGTGCGGCGTGCGGCGTGCGCGGCACCCGGCAGCCGGGCCGGGGGCAGGTGTGCCAGTATTAGTTTATACGGTATGTACGTATCTTGTATGTGCACACAGTGACGACGTGAGCCGTGACGCGTGAGCCGTGTAGCTGTAGGGTGTAGCACTTTTTATTGTGCATGAGTGCATGAAAAATGGGCGTGAGAGCTCTGAGACCCGAACACCGCACATGTCAATGCGCGGTATTGATTGGGTGCGCGCTGCCTGTGGAGCCTGCGCGCTATGTGGAAGCTATCCTCGCCAGCTCGAGACTGTGGTCGTCTTTGGCATGCCCTTTGGAATCCCCCGCGAGTCCATGAAGTCTGCCGTCGCCAGCCCGATGACCCCCGCAAAGTCCGCCTCGTGATACCTCACGAGCCTATGAGGCAAGGTTAGGGATCGGCACACAAGGAGCGCGTGCACCCCTGCACGCTACACACACTGGCGTGTCGTGTGTGCGGCGGGCGCCTGAAGCTGCTGTCGGTGATGTCGGCCTTGCGGAAGACCGCGCGGTAGAGCAGGGCCCCCGTGAAGTCGGCCCCGGTCAGGTCGGCGCTCGTGAAGTCGGCGAAGCGGGCGTCGGAGCGGGAGAACTGGCAACCGACCAGCTCTGCGCCGCGGAGGGAGGCGCGGTTGAAGTCGGTGCGGACAGCGCGAGTCTTGTCCATCTGGACGCCTAGAGAGCCACTCATACGGAAACGTGAGCTGGGCCGTCGCGGAAGGAGGATCGTCCCTGCGACAGGTCCATCCAAACGCCGTCCATGAGGGCGCCGCGGAAGGAGGAGAGGTC